GGGCGTACCTTCAATCATAAAGCCAATCACACTAAGTACTGAATACGTCATATCTTTGATTAATCGTTCACTACATTAATAACTACGAATACCAACTGTCAGAATCAATAGTCAGAATAGCAACGGTTATCTCGTAATTAGTTCCAAACCACTGAGCCAAGTTCCGTCCAAAACTTCAAATAGGTCTAAACGATGACAGACATAACACAGCAATATTAATTCAGCTAATAATCAGCTAATTTAAGTCGATTAACAGATACGCGAAAACAAATTCATGACAATATTACTGACCGCGAAAGACGCCCATCGCGAACTGTCTTGTTCAATAAAAATAAACGTTCTGGGGGTAGCGTATAGAGTGGGCGGACGTTTCGGCTCTGACTTTTCGGCCAAGAGTTTCGACCAGGGCGGACGTTTCGGCCGAAGTAGAGTTCAATGGCAAGGTGATCTTACAAACGTAATAGGCTATATATTAAATATTTCTGTAAATAACTGTATGTCCACATCATAAAATAACTATGTTTTAAATATTTAATAGCATTTTTGAACAATTTCACTTTCAGGGGCGGATCTTGCAAAACGTATTGGGGGGTCGTCCATGCCTATAGGTCGAAGACACGGGACCGTGCGATTCGGACGATGCTATGCGTAATCCAGATGCATTTTCACGCGTTTGGGGGTCCGCCACTGATAGTTTCTAGTATAAAAATGACCGAAGAACAAATATTTAAGAACTTCAATTCTCAACACACGAAACACACCACACATATACAGGAAATGCAGTTATGAGGTATAACTTTTGTTATATTTTTTTTTTTTGCTGTCAACTATGGTGCTCTTTTCGATAGTCGAATCTTAGTGCCTGGTGTGTATTTTCTAATAACTTGTTTCGCCGATTTTTCATTATCATCGTAACCACCATGTAAATCATATAAGACATTTAAATACATGTACTTGCATTTTTACCTAAATTAAAACCAAATAAATATATACAATCAAAAAACAATGGATATCTAAATGCCCATGAAAAATGGCACGTCACTCAATGTGTTTCGTCAACTCTCCAAACAATCACCATTTTCCACTCCAGAATAAACCTATAATGCCAACACTTGGCATTGTTATAAAATAACTGATATCAACACATATAACGATCGATGTGAATGAAAGAAATGAAAGAAATTATTACGTCCTCTTACGCCCATTGCGTAATATATTAAGAATGGTAAAACGTGGTAAAACATTGCTTTCTTATATGTTACCACCACTGTTTACTTGATCAGATTAGCAAAATTACTTGTAACGCTAATTTCAAATACTGAAGATCGTTTATTTTATAGAAGATAATCACGGGCCGAAACGTCCGCCCTGGTCGAAACTCTTGGCCTAAACACGGTTACTTCTCGTCGCCGTGGCCTAAATGTCCGGCATTCAGGTAAACACCGTAACCACGGTTACTATTTTTTTTAGTAACCGTGACCGTAACTGAGACCAGCATCTGATTTGCGTTTAATATAAACAGTGAGTTGTCAATCAAAGAGCAATGTAAACAAACTATCGGGACTTTTAATCACATACGAGTGCCTCGGTTCCCCATATTTTAAAATCATTTTTTTTTTAGTATGTTCCCGCATTGACAATGCTCCGAAATTTTAACACTACCTCGCCAAGACTGTCTGGGTAATAAAAAAGTAAAAAAAAAAAAAAAAAAAAAAAAAAAAAAAAACACTCCGAGTGCCCACGAACCTACATCTATACCCTAAAAAAATACGTATCGGGGTACTGTCAACGTCACGGTACGAGCATGGTACGAGTTACCAGTAAATGCAAATATGCCGTACTTGTAAGGTACGAGTTGCTAGTTAGAATTAAAACTAAATACATAAAAATACGCTGTACTTGCAATGTCCAAGCTATTAATTAGTAAATAAACAGAATTAAAAAGTAAATATGAATATGAATATATGTATATGTACACAGAGGCGACGGCACTGCAATTTTGCATGTGGCGAGACCTGCAGTGCTCAATTTTGAAATCCAGATCTTCTAAAACGCTATTTCCTGTATTGTGAGAGGCAAATGTTGCTAATATACAAGGGTTTCAGCTTGATTCGGCGACCCCCCCCCCCGTGCCTCCGCCACTGGTATATGTATAATATTTGCTAAGAATAGAGAATAATTGATATCGTCACAAAATTAAAATATCTGACAGAAATTAACCCAATATACCTATATAACAAGTATCAATTGAGCTGGTAGTTTTCATGAAGTCATCAAAAAACACAGTTTGGAACAAAATGACCCAAAATATTCACAAATTCCGTAATTGTCATCTTCGATAGCAGCGGAGCTAAAAAGTTTGTTTTCTAGTCGCAAATACAAAACTTGTTATAATAAATAATATATAATTGTTATATACATTTTCAGTAAGTTTAAGAGCCAATCCTGATTAAACAAAAAAATATTAACAAAGTATTCGACATGTTTCTCACTGCTAAGTAAACGGTGTTTGACCGAGTATGTACATCAGCTTTATTTTATCAAAATTACTTACACAGACCATGATGAACTTTGTTTCGACATGTATAGTATATTTCTGTAACTTTTTATTAAACACATTGTGTTGCCATCAGATTTGTAATTGTCACTACAATACCTATTCTAAAAACTTGTCAAAAGATGGTTATTTTCTGTATCCATGCAAATTATACATGTCATGATCATGTTTATATTTTAGCTTATCCGCTAAATATTCCGACTTTACAATGACATGTACGCAATATTATCTACATTTGTCATATATGATTATCGTGATCAAATAATGAACATGTATCAAACGGAGAGTAAACTCAAAATATACCACTGTATGCCATGCTGACAGGTCACAAAATATACCACTGTAAGCCATGCTGACAGGTCACAAAATATACCACTGTAAGCCATGCTGACAGG